TCAGTAGTTAAAGATCATTATTGCTGACGATGTGAATGAAATTATTATCTAAACAGTCAATTTATTGAAGTGACTTTTGAAGGCGAATTTTCAATAAGACTGATTTACTACTAGACACGATCTTTTCTAGCACATTGCCGTGAAATAAGTGCAAAAGAATCACAATAGGACACTGTACATTGTTACTATATTCTTAAACTAACTATTTATTAAATCGTGTATTCGGTTGCCTTGTACCAACTGTGATCAAACGCGTTTTGTTAACAGACATTCTCTTAATTTTTGGATCCTATCTCAAAATGGTTATATAACGTTTTGAATGTTCAAGCATTTTACTGTTACATTTTTCTTCAGTTATGCTGAGTAGTTTGATAGTAGTAGCAACAGTTTCTCCATACGGTCCATCCATATGATAAACCAATGTCGTTGCTTAGCAACAGGTAAAACAATTTATGAGTTTGAAAAAGTACTTATTATACACAGATTACGATCATTTTGACGACCAACCGTTGGCTATCACGCAACCACGTTTTTTAATTATCTTCCAGTATTATTACTATAATTATTACTACAATTTCTCTCTCATTTCATACAAATGGTACCCCTATCAGCATTTATCTATAAAATAACTCATAGTTACACACACCATGGTTCAATGTGTACAATCCTTTTTTCCATATCAGTATGAAAAGTAAATCACTTTTTATTGTTTGATACTCACAATACATATGTTGTGAAATATCACATTCAGTTTTATCACTAGTCTATACTTAACCAACCAAAGAAATTTAATAACAGAATAAGCAATTCACTATGACAACCATCATGAACAAGTTGCTTAGTAACCACGGTTTCGGAAAATTTAAATTTCACAAATTTCCAGTCTACCCTCTTGTTTTGTGTATCCTTATTATAATTGTTGTCTATATTAATTCTCTATTAAATACATTGGTAATTAAATAAGTAGATGAGTTGATAGGTAAGTGGCTATATGGTTAATAGGGTTGGTCTCGATTACTCAACTTTTTTCATCTGTTTGATTTAAATAAAATGAATTTACTCTGAATTCACATTTCCGACCTTGTTTATTTTTCAGTCCTTTGACAAATGTATTAAAAGTATAAAATATCAATGTCTAATTAATATGTTTTCGTGTATGATTGTACTAAAAGTTAAAGAATATAATAAAAATTAAATAAAGCACGATTATTATTATGAAATAATAAATACTTCAATAGGTATATACATATACAGTCTAAACAAAACAAACACTAATTTAGTGAAATGAATACATTGTGCTTAAAATCCTAATTCAATAAATTAAACCAAATAGTTGTGATTTGATTCTCATGTGTTTATTGGCTTTTAAATGTCGATCAAAATCTAGCGATAAACAAGTGAAATGCTATCATTATTCTGAAGAGATCTAATAATATAATACACTGTGCATCTTATTTACATCTTATTTATAATGGTATTCAAACCTACCATTATTCCCATTGACACATCAGTGAATAACATAAAAAACTAATCCAAATATATTTCATGAAGAAACCACTTATTTTAGAAACCATTATTATATATTGCTAGGAAATATATTATAAGGTCATATATATCTATATTAAGTGAAGTTAAATTCAACTGTGAAATTTCCAAACTTCAAACTGATACCATCGAACTTAGTTCGCCAAACAAAGTCATTCAAAATGGGATATCGCACTTGATTTAATTATTGCTTCAACTTATTTGTAACAGAATAGAATCCTCCACTTATTACTTTATTAGCTTATCATCTGGGATTAACTTACTTAATTTTTCTATCTTGTGGTGTCACAAGCGCTAAATTTAACACTGAGGTAAGTGTACTGGAGTTTTTTTTCCAAAAATAGCTTCATGTGTCAATTCTGTTTAAAAAATTTCATTTCAGAATAAAGTGAAATTAGTCAATTACGATTTTTCTAAGTCTCAATATATATTATCATCTTAAATCTTAAATGTAGATATTAAAAACCAATAATCAAAAGACATAAACTTATTAGAAAACAATAAATTAGATTTGGTCGCTTATGTAAAATATTTTCGCTTTTTATTGGTTTTACATGAATAAAGTTTATAGTCATCTTACCATTCTTATCTTCAACACTTTTAGCATATTTAAACAGATTTTGAGTTCAAGTTTCAGTATAAGTATAAGCACTAGGATCTAAGTACATCCTGCTAGCCACAATCCAAATACCTTGAAAACTTATGAATTAAGGTAATATTGATGCTGTCCTGTTATGTTCTTATGCCCTGTTAATATATTACATGATAATACTGACAATTAGAATATCGACTTATTGATCAGACCAGCGATGCATAATCCAGCACGAGCAGCCTAGAGTCAAACCTGAATTCTAATTGATTCTACGAGATAGTAACTTCTTGTCTAACCCAGACGGTTCATTATAGAACACCAATATCATTCCTCGCTATATGAATCATGTATTTCAAACACCCGCAGTTTATATACAAGTAAATGAGACCACATCATACTATAAAGTAGAAAATAAAAATTATACAAGATCAACAAAAAAAGTGGCTCTGATTGTGAGCGACTGTAACTAATAAATTGTCAATAACTTAAGGATGATAAATCGCATAGTAGTAGTCAATAGGTCAAGTGGAAGCTTATAATAAGAGGAATGTGAATATACATATAACATAGTGACCTAATAGTTATACAATAAGAGTATATATATCCTAACAGTTACCGTTCACTTATTCTTCGTCAGGACATAACACTTTCATTTAAAGCTCTTGGATTACAGTTTTTCAATAATGAATAGTAAAAATATGATAATTTCGATTTTGTGAATATTTCCTTAATAGATATGAATAACATATTTCTTCTTTGGTGATATTAAATATGAATGGCATGTTATTGAACAATAATCATGAAACATTTTTAAAGGTGTAATAATACGATTTTAAGTTACAAAATAACAACAAGAACAAAACAAGACTAAATCATATTTCAGAAACGAATTAGAGTCAAGGCAGGATAAGAGGTTTGACGTATCATATTTGCATGCAGAGTTCGCGTTTGAATATGTTGGTTGCCAAAGCCTCAGAAGTGCATAAATTTTGATTCGAACTTTCTTTGGTTCAGTCCATTTGCTTGTGTTGATTATCTTGAATGAAGACGTCTTTAAAGCAACGAGTACTCTTTTGAACTGTCAGTGTTTTCTCAGGATATTGTCTTGGTGTTAAGTCCCCATCACCGAATGTAGGTAGATAGATATATCTGACGAGTATCTGTCGAAGCTGAAGTAGTTCATCATCTCTTGTGTCACGAAAACATAGTTTTCGGTGATAAAGAGTGAATTTGGTTTCTTCTTCTATTAAATGAGACCCAGTTGTGGAAAAGTTGGTGACTTTATCTCGGTGAGAGTAAACCATGAACCTAGGTTTCGTGTTAACTGAGACTCATCGCAAAGGTTTGCCTGGAGTCTTATGGGATTGCGTTAAGTCGTCTTCTCAAAAGTTAAGGAGTTACTTTAGATATGGCTTCATCTTTCATGTGGTTGGAGCTGCGGTTCATGTTCTCAGTGGTTACTAGCTCGAAGATAAGTCCTGACAAAACAACAACTACGTTCAAAAATAACTAGAGTATAAGTAGGTTGGTGGGAAGACAAGAGTGTGACTGCATCGCGGTAACCAATTTTGGTTTATATTATTCAGGGTAGGGGAGTTGTGTTTACTTGGCATATTTGGGTCTCTTGTGATCTTATTAATGGTCACAGGGATTATGCATCTTAATGCCTTAAGACATTATCAAACGTGATTCACAACCAAAACCTCAAAGGCAAACCCAATGGTTTTTTCCCTAATGTAGGCATTAGGATGTACTTTAAAATCTTCAATATCTTGATTTATACGCCAACCAATTAGTTTACTTCCTGATACTGCGTCTTCACTGGATTTTCGCTCCGTTTTGCCCAATGCATTATTTAGTGGAAACATTTATGCCTTTAAACTCATTAGTTGATCTCTCTGCAGGACCTGAACAGCTCAGGATTTACGACGGTGACACTCGATCCTTTTTAACTCTGTGAATGCAGCTCAAGCCGTCTAAAGAATTTTTGGGGAACACAGTTGCATTTGGGGAGCTCGTGATGGGAAACCCAAGTTTGCTGAGAGAGTATAACAACGTCGACGACATGGCGTTGCCGATTTGTAGTATATCCTTAGCAGTGTTGATCCATGTTCCATCGATACCAATGTTATCGAAGACCCTCTTACTTACTATACTGAGCGTTTTTGTTTGTTTGTCCGTTTAAGGACTGCCTTTATCAGGGTTGCTGACTTTTTTCGTACATTTGTCAATAGAAAGATTAGGCTCAGCAAGTCCTAGGCATTAATGTTAAATGTGCCCCACACTCAAATACCACCTGACTTGTTAAGTTTCTTGTAAGCAGTTACTGTGACATCTGTGAGTGCTTGGTGAATGCAAACTTTGTATTTGTCACACTGTATACCTCAGGTGATAGTAAAACAACATCCAGGTCGCTTATATGAGATTTTCATGTCCATGGTGAAACACGAGTTGCTAGATTGATCCTAGCAAACGTTAACAACTGCGAAACAAAACACAAAACACTCAAAACGAATAAAATATTTGATTCAAAAGTTTGAGATATACTATCATCGACGTGTAAAACTATGAAGACCAAATAGTGAGTTAAGGCGAGACCACAGTTAGCTGTTCACTCATGTAAAACTCAAAAAGAAATGCAAACTACCGAACGTTAAGGTCGGGATAGATTTTTCGGACTCAAAACGTTGTTCTTGTTGTATAATGATGCAGCAGATGTTTAGTAAATGCAAATTAATTTGTACCAATCTCCTTGATCGCAAAGCGCTCGTATTCGTTTATATATAAGAACATTTCGAATGATAGAAACTTAAAGCAAAGGTGACGTAACAAGCTGCGAAACATAAATTTATTCAAAACAATTGTTTGAGCAGACCTTGGAGGCGGGAAATACACACTCAAGGTTTTGAGGTTAGAATGACGTATCAACTGTTAGAATCCACTAGCAGTATATATATATCAAGCCAGTTCTCTGTTTAATAACCGTTAGATCATTACAACCAGGCTATTTGATGAGGCACTCTTGTACGCTTCATCATAATGCAGTTCAACTACCGTTGTGGGGCAGTCTCATAGGTCCCGCAATTAAACAAGTCTATCATCCAGTTTTCGCACATTACCTTCTGCAGTTGAGTTAAGGTTGATTTGGAAAACTATACTTGCTCATTTAATTAACGCAAGATAATAGACGAATTCGAAAGCTTCTCGAGTTACCTACTAAACTTATCACATGGCTTACATGTACACTTTTTGCATCCACCTAAACTCACTTGGAGTCGTAATAACAAGTAAGACCACTGCACAAAAAAGACTTGTATGACCCTTCTACCTTTTTCACTATATATTATTCTGGGGCAGGTTACAGTAAATGTACTCACTATTTTTCCAAATTTATTTTGACTTCTGTTTTACATAATTGTAACCCTCGTCTTCTCATATTCATGTGACTATAATCGGTAGTCGAGACTTGGAAAATGTTCCACCGATTCTTGAACGATACTTTGTGTAACCAGACGATACCGTATCAAAATGTTTCAAATCATCCACAAATAATCATTCTGAATATCAAAATCATTATTTATCCTCCTGTAATTCACTTGCTTATTACTCTCTATTTCATCAACGAAAGATTCGTCACTTTAAAAAAGTCATTTGGATTTCAATAAATAAAGTGTAGTTTATGCTGGCAATTCGTTGACAACACGACGAGAACTGTACTTCACCAATTTTCGTGAGTGCTAATCAGCTAAAAATACTCTGAAATCAGCCTGATTCACAAAAGCAGACGACCAGTAATGAGACCTGGTTTTTGGGGCTGATCTTCGTAGCAAGACACTCTCGATGGTCTTCATTGTTCTTTATTTTAGTTAATAATTAATTGTTTTGCCTTATAGGATTTATTTAATGAGGAATGGCAATATGTGACCCAAGAGAGGTTTGCTTTGGTGCCGGTAGTCTTATACTTTAGGAGGAAGCTCAAGTGCTAAGATCAATTTTCGATGAAGAAGAATTGACGATATCAGACGATTATAATTTAGAATACAAGGTTAGTTTTACTTTTTTGAAAAATAATTATTATATAGGTAGGTGAGGTGGGAACGACTTCTTCATTCATTGTACACGTTTACTGGCCTGAAGGATATCCTGACGTTTTACCTTGTATCTCTATGGATTCTTTTTATAATCATCATATCCCGTTAAATATTAAAGAGAAAATAACTGAAGAATTAGTGTCTGTTGCTAAAGACCAACTTGGCTCAGCTCTAACATTTACTTTAATTGAGTACCTAAAGGAAAACCATGAGCGATTTACTAAATCTTTTGCAGTTGATAAAGTAGATACATCACAAAACAATTCGTTCCCGAGTGAAACTCCATCGGTATGTCTAAATTGTTTGACATTTTTATACATTGTTTATATAGGTTTCTCGCAAACAGAATAAACTACCTCAATTATCTAAAAATCAAAAAAGGAAACACCTAGATAGACTAGGACAAAGTGGAGAGTTACCTAGAGGTTGGAACTGGATTAGTGTTATAAAACACCTTCAACAAACTGGATCGGCGTCATAGAGACATATTTGGTTGTATTTCATTGCACACAAGATAAGATTCTATTTGCTTTCACGTTTCATATTCATTGACAATGGGCTAAAATGATAACGGGGTTATGCGTTTCTGAATAATGTATTTTACTAATTAAATGTAATTTACAAAATAGTGCAGGATGCTTTTTTGAAAGGTGTCAGAATACGATTTAGTATGTTACTCGTTAGTGTCCTGTTGTTATTTCGGATATGCACCTATAAATAGTACACTTCGTTAAAACAGGAACTATACCTTCATATTTTTCGCTTGTTGAGGTACTAGGTGCAATAGGATTTCTGCATCTAATAACAGAAGCCCCCTGGGGAGTAGTACATAATCTTTTCATCCAATGTAGTAGTATGATATTTCCATCAGTAGTTTACGTCGTTGGAAGTAATACGTGTATATGCAGTTAGTATATATCGTATGTGCCTCAGAAGTATTGCTTAGATGTGGCGGAATTGTTGAATAAGTGATCGAAACATGAGGTAGGGATGCCTAGTTATCGCTTTGACTGACGTAAGAAAAAGTTGTAAAACGGTTACAAGTTGATAGTTCAAGATATTGGCTCGGTTCATTAAGTCGTTGTATATCGTTTCCCTTCATGGGATTATGCGGGCCATGACTGGCGTACCCACCATTAATACTTGTAATTTGAATCTATACTTTCAATGCATTTCCCTAGGTTATATGCTTTACCTTTGTCCTCTGGTGCCGTTTCTACCCCATTTTGACCAATCATCTTAAAACTACAGGCGAAATAGCACAGAATTTACTTCATACTCAAAATTCCTTATTGTATGAAGTATGGAAATGCTAGTCTAAGATCTGAAGGTTTGTCAACAAATATGCGCAATTGACTCCTTTCTGTATTTCCATTACGAAAAACAAGTACTGTATATTTGACTGACCTTTGAAAGCCTCACATTTTACAACCAAACATGCACTTACTCTATATGTCTTCCCCCACTTCTAAGTCAGCACACAGATAAACGCAAGTATCTTGCTCTTGTTGTTGTAACTGCTATCTCATTTATGAAACTTCTTTTCTGAACGACCGGAAACTTCTATACAGACCCTAAAGTTATCCTAAAATCCGAATGATTATATATAATGATGAATTTCATACACTAGCGTTTTCATGGTTCTTAATAGGATTCTTTGGATTAATCTAGATCCTGATTTTAAGAATAAAAGCATCTTACCAACTCGTATACCACACGTTTTATCTATATAGACTAACTTGGTTCGCAAAAAAGTGAATTATCTGTGAGGAAAAACATTAACTTGGAAGATAAGGCTAATTTCTTATAATAACTTAATGACTCGTGATTAAGAAACGTTTTTACCTAGAATAAATCTTTGGTAAAATTAGATAACTGTCACTAACAGTTCATTTACATATCAACAGCTACAATCTATTTGCGCAAACTAAATGGTTAAAGGTTAGTTGAATTGATCTAGCTACCATCAAACATCACACTGCCTTTGAAAATTTATTACCATAACACAGTAGTTTACTAGGTTCTATCACATTAAATTTGAAAATTAGTTACGTCACATTTGTAACTAAATATCAAACTTGGTGCCAGTACAAAGATGTTGAATATATCTTGTGGTCAATGTGTAGAAGTAACAGTAGTTTCTTGCTGGGCTTGTTATAGCTTTCGGCTAATCAATATAAACTTATCATCTAGTAAGTATTCCCGACTCTTACTGCTATTATTGTATTTTAAAATAATTTATTTAGAAAATTAAAACGATCGCATATATAAAAATATAATTTCATCGAAAATATTTGCTTTAAAATCAATGTCTCATTCTATGATTTTACATTGTGAAATCCAACTAAATAGGCTTGGCTTTAATCAGGTCTATGATTTTTTTGAGGATGGCACTGTGAGTTGGACCATCATGCATACCGAGGAGTGAAGTAAAATGATCTTCATTTGACATGTAAAACGTTTCATAGGTAAATTGCAAATGTGAACCCTGTCCACTTCTTGATGCATTACTCAACAAGTCCGCTAGGGATTTAGATTGTTCCTTCATAGCTGGTGATTCGTACTCTGCCCAAGTAACAATCCAATGAAGTGATTTACTGAGCAGTAGATTTGGACCGTCTTGCATGAAGTGTCGGATTGGACTGACAGACAAAGCCTCACCAACCGTTTTGAACTTTATTGCTTTATTTACGTAAGTGTGGATAATTGGACGTAGGTCATAAACTCCTGACATTAAAACAAGGTTTTGCAAACAGCATAGCCAATTATTGTTTGATTTGAGTTCCATATGAGCCCAATATAACATTTCCAGAACTAAGTGTGCACCGGCAGAATGTCCAACTAGGGTTATGCGGAGCTTCGTATAATCTAAGTTACCAAACATTTTATGCGTAAGAGTTATAACTTTTTGCATTCCGAGACATAGGCTTTGTGGCATCGCCTCCAACTTTTCTTTTGGAGCTAGCCTGTAAGACAAAGAGACGAATATACTGTCAGCATTTGTAACAGGAACTGCCCAACTACTGGATTCTTCCCAACCAACCAACTGCCAATACCCTCCATGAACATAGACAACAATATTGGTTGGGATTATTGATTGATCACTTGGAGGAAACCAATCTAAAGCATACTCTCCGTATCCGTCTTCTTTAAATAGCATAGATTCATTAAACGGAACTTTAAAAACACCTTTATCTTTAAACAACGTCCGTGAAAATTCACTTTGTTTGCGTAAGAGAGACATAAGTTGTCCTCTCACATCATCTCCAAGGCAAAATGGCTCTCTGGTCTTAATAAGCCAGTTTGCAGTTCTGTATTGATAATCCAATTCATCAACAATTTCCGGTAATTGGGTTTCTGATGGATCTTCATCTACAGTATCCATGGATTCCGTACTAGTTGCCTAAAAATAATGAACGAGAATTCGACTTACTAAAATCCATAGCTCAATAAATAAAGAGGTTAGATGGTTGATCTTAATGTATTCAGGGTTAAAAAATCCACCCACAGAATGTAAACGTCTCAATGTAACATATTAAATTCCTAATATATATTATAAGACTAGGTGGGAAACACTTACCAAATCAATAGAAAAAGTCCGTTAAAAACCAACTGTAATCCAAGTTGCGTCTCACTATATTTCAATTAGAAAAACAGACCTGATGAAGGTAAGTTAAAAAAACCATGTTAATGCTGGCTGAGTATTCGATTTCAGATCAGTCGTCACTAGTGAAGGTACCGAAAAAAAACTTGTATTTTCCGGTGTGAAATTTATCTACACACTGACATTTCCTCAGTGCATTAATTCAATCTGCTGTCTGATTTGGGATATATTGCGTGTTCTCCAGGTACCTTCGATTAGGGAACCAGTTGAGTGCAGTGCTCAAGAATATTAGGTAGTAGTGTGGCATGCTACTGATATCGACAGATATAAGTAGTATGTATCACCATTCAAAAGTGAAGTGCCGGGCGGCAGAAAGTTAAGATCGAAGACAGCGAGGACAAAAATGATTGGTACAGAAACGAAGGAACAATGAAGTCTGAGACAACTGATTGACATTTTGCAATCGAAGTATTCACTGTATGGTTCTCAGATTTTACTACGACGTTCTGTAATTTTGCGTCCAAATACATTCAATAGTCTCCACTTGTGTTTTCGTTTATTACATTTGGTGTCGCTGCCAATCAGGAGGGGGAAGGGTGCTGTATGACTCCATTTACATTTTATTTGCAGTGACAAGATATTCAAAATTAGTTTATGTATAGACGTTAGTAGGTATGACGTATTGTAATAGGCTATTGCGCCACATGTTCGTGAAAATATAATAATGACGAGATATAAAGGGAAAAAATTAAACATACATTCCCTAAAAATGAAAAAGACTAACGGGTTCCGAGAAATAAATTTACGAATGAAAAACAAGGTATAGATAAGCTATTAAATTTATTTGAAAAACTGGTTGACATGACATAAACGAAAGTTTGTCTTAAAATAATTATCACGAATTCAGCTAGAATTGTATGAACATATGTAAGGGACAAACATAGGTTTCATTCGTCAATACTAAATAGTCGACAACAACAGGGAGTAGTCTTCATGAGCTGGAATTTCTCGAATTCGGAAAGAGACACCATCTCCTTGACTAAAACCGAAAAAAATAAAATAGTCGTTAAAATGATTAATAAGTATTTAGTTGATTTAATAGTATTTGTTATCATTGGGTTACATCTACTGGAGGATGTACAGTAATGGACATGAAAGTTCGAGCACCCAACTTTCGATCTGTAGGCTGTGGTTTCAAACATTACTTACGTATACTTCTGTAATCGCTGATGGTCGTGTAGAAAAGTTGTTGCTGCCTTGAGGTGGTGGTCGGGCTTATCTATCGTGATGAACTAGTCAAGCTATACTGGCTTGAACAATCGTTCCTCAAGATCCCACTATGCTAGACACGTCGGTTAATGAGCGGTAAGAATAAAAGCAACAAACCCAAGGTCTGAGGGCGAAGTCGTACTACTGACTGTACAGAGGTGTGACAGCAGTAAGGTGTTTCCTTCAGACAACCAACATGACAGCGATGCTGCCTTCCCACAAGGAGGGGTGGGGCCAGAAATGGTCGACCCTAAAGATGCACACCTCGCCTTATCCCACGGATACCCGTCTCCGGCGGTAAAGTCTCAACATGTACGGAGCTAACACAAAAATTACCCATAAAAAGGTCGTGTGTGACCGACCTCAAGTAGTTGTCCCTCGAGCACTGCGGTCACGCTCTCAGGTCACTAAGACCACCTCTAATTCAGTTTGCTATTCAAGTACCTCCAGAACAACCCTTCCACGGTGTGAGCAACCGGGAAGTGATAGTCGTCCTCATACCTATAACAGCACTCAAGACCTATTACAAACAATGTGATCATACGTTACCTTCTTATGATGTTTGTATTGGAAATAAAGTCAAATCAGATGAGTGAGAATCTGATAAGCGTTATATCTAGAACTCAGATTCTTAATGTGCCGCGTATAAGTGGAGCACTCGCACGCTAGAACCCTCCCAAGTCGCAAATGAGAAGACAAATGAAAGGAATGTTATTCTAAACAGTGCCATTTATGGTGCAAAACTGCCAGGTTTATATCGTTTCTAGAAAAAACGTAATCATCATTATAGTTATCCAATCCGCCCCTAAATGCCCTGGTATGGCCGAGAGTGGAGTG